TAGGACTTCAACACCTTACCCATCAAAAAGATCGTCCATTTTAACTGCATCTCTGTGCTGTCATTGTAACAGGTTCAGTGCCACAAGTGACTCAGCCGTAATAGACAAAGACTTTTCCTTCCAATCCAAGGAGGTTACATTCAAACCAGGAGAGATTTATCACAGTATTAATATCCCTATCCTGAAAGATGACTGGACAGAAGACGATGAGAAATTTACTATATCCATGACCTCTGTGGATGGTGTGATATCCATTGTCACGCCTGGGAGAGTCACGATTACGATCGGCAGCAATGGTAAGATTTGGGGAATGATGGTCTTCCTGAAGTTGGGTAAACAAGGAAAAAAGCATGTGGGAGGGGGTTTCTTGGAAAAAGAGGAACTGTTGCGATTTTCGGGAGAAAGGGCCACTCGGATTTTCTGACTTGGAAAAACAGTCCACTCTCAGAATGTAACAATGACCCATTCCTTGCTGTAAGGCGTGTTTTAAGTATCCATTTACACCTTGCTTTTTGTTCTGTTCTTTCGTTTATTGTTAAGATGGCTCAGCTGGTCGTGAACCTGCAACAGGAGAACAAACCGATGATGAAGGTAAGCTGAGGAACAATTATAAAATAACACATTTAATAATATACATGAAAAAAATTACGCGCGTCTGATTGGCTGAAAACGAGTGCATTTTTCGTGTATAATTGCAAATTATAATTAGCGCATCCCCTCCGGGTTCGTGCAATTTTGTTGTCTCTGAAAGCTGTGCTCTTGCTTATAAATACCAAATTGCACTCGAAATCATGTTGTTCCCTATACAAATTTACTCTTTACGAGTGTGCTGCAAAGTTGGGAGTCTGAATCTTTGAGAGGAGCTAATCATGACCTTCTGACCATCAGCGGGATGTTTCACCTGAGAACTTTCAATTGGGATCTCGTAGCGAGCCTAGATATTTACTTTGCTCAAATGACGTTAAGTTGCCACTGGCCTTCAATAGTAGAACTGTGAAGAATAGAAACGAGGGGTATGGATTGGTTTCAAGGTGGAGTGGGTGGGGATTGAAGTTGGATGGCTGTAGGGCGCGGAGATTGGTATTGGGGTGGAGTGAGTGGGGATTGAAGTTGGCTGGCGGAGCGAAGTTGGGCTAGGTAAAGATTTTGAGATGGAGCGGCTAAGGATTGTTTCATATTTATCTGTTTTTTTTTTTTTTCTTTAGATATCTGCTTTATTCCGCTCATCTTGCTGTGTGTTGGAATAGGTTTGGTGTCTCTGGGCATAATCATTTTACTCGGGTTTCTTATCAAACTATTCTGCTGATAACGAAATAAAAGCAAGGTAAGAGTGACCTTCATGTACCACCCGATAGATCTGTGGAGAAATTTCAGTTGAGGGTCGAAAGTCCTCCGGAAGGATTAGAATGGTTTTGTTTTACTTCTTACTATGATTGGTCGAGAAAACCTACACCATCCTCTCAACCCGTTAGATATTCCATTTAAACCAGTCGCTCATTGGTTCCTCGCGTTTCCCTCTTATCTGTTTTTACTTTCATGCTCACTTCTGCCCCTTGTAAAATTTCCTTTACTTCAAATCAGTCGTTGAGTTGTTTTAATTTGGATTGAAACGTGCCGCTAAATGGTGAAGTTTTCGTACATATTGAAAGTGCAATAACGTATTGAAAGTGAAATATTACCTGTCTTCATGAGACTTCCGTAAGATTTCTTACGAGTAATTTATTCGCTCTCATGAGCTTCAACCGAAAAAACAGCTGCCTACGGCACATCTTCCAAAAATTTCATGAAAAAGCGCCGCATTGTTATTGGTTGATACCAAACTGATCATGCGCAGGCTCCATGTGTGGATCAAATATGCCAAAGCTTCTCGCACAGTTTTTATACATGTTAATCTTGTGTTTGTTTAACCCGTTATATTTCAGTAGAGACATCTTAAAAAGCTAGACATCATGCAACCAAAGGAAAGAAGTCTTCAACTAGATCAAACTTTATCGGGATTCGTATGTTACCTGCTGAATGAAAGACTACGAAAAAAGACTTTTTCGAATTTTACCCAAAAATCTTGGTTTGACGATGTAAACGATGGATTTTTTAATTGATACCAATCTGTAACCAGGGTTCGCCGGTGTATGTGTATATTATTAAATTTTGATACTCTGGCATCTTAAGTTTCAGCTTTTCAAATTAGCTATGTATCGAAATTCTTCACTTGCATTTCAAACTTAAAAGGAATATTTGTGAAACTTAAGACCAAGGAGGAACTGAGGAGAATGTATCATTTAAGTGGCTGGATGACTCGTCAGTTTTTTTCACCGCTGAGCCGACGACATAAACCTTCCTCGTTCACATTAGTGATGGTGAAACAATAAATGAATATATTTTTTTGATAAAATAGTACGTTGTACAGGCGATGAGTTTTCTTTTTCAATAAAAATGAACATTCCTCCGTCTAATAATCAGACCAGTTTCATAAAAAAAATCTGAAATCTTGGACTTCCTCTTCTGCAAAAACATGTCGAAAAAGTAGTGGCGTGTGTTACTGCGCCAAATTTGATTGGTTAACAATGTTAGAAACAAATGAATAAAGACAGAATGAAAAGAAAAGTTTTTACTTATCCTTTTTTTTTAGCAATCACTTGTTAAAACTAATATAATTTATTCCAGCTAAATAACCAACAATCTCCCATTACTTTTCAAGGCTATCTAAAATTAGCTATGGATCTTAGACGAGGATGAGTGGGGAGGATTTAGCCTCCTTTCCAGGTGATATTTGGGTCGTCACGCCACATTTTAGTCACGAAAACCGTGACGAGTACAGTTGCGTGACGACAAACATAAAAAGCGCGAAACAACATGGAAAAAAAATTACAACAACAACTACAAACAAACGAGAAAAAAAGTTGGAAAGTAGACTAGATCCCCATGTGTTTGAAAAGAACTCAACGTGCTTCTTGTAAAGATAATTACCATTAACCAATATAACATAACAGTAGCAATCTGTACATTTTAGACCCAATTTGATATCGAAGTGAACGTAACAACTTTTTGTTCATTCAAAATCGAAACGTGGATATTTGCTGAGCCCATAGAACTTTTCAGCAGCGTTTCAAAGGTAACTTAGAGCAACTTGACGCAATGTCAACGAACTGAACCAGACAACGATCAAATTGCTTATGTTCAATTTTTATCAAGTCTTAAAAACAGCAAAGTCAAGAATGAAAATTCAATGTACAAAACTATAGTGAAGTAATAGAAGTAGTAATCTATAAATATAAGGAAAAAAGCCCTCCGAATGAAGGAACCATTCTCTGGTAAAACAAATCGATTGTCCTCAAGCAATTAATATAACTTACGCTTTAAAACGAGCTACCTCGAAACGGGGCCTGTGCGAAGTCACCAAACTTTAATAAGTAATTTAGTTGAGGAGTCAGAAATAAAGTACTTTGTCTTCAAGTCGAACGGATCAATTTAATTATCTTAGCTACTGCGCACATACCCCTCCCCTAACCCGACATTAACCCTGGCTTGTCATCAGTTGACTGTTGCTGGGCTAGGGAAGGAGCTGGTAGGCAATTACTTAGATATGACATTGATCTCTTCAAATGTATGATCAATTTCTGTGATTCTTGTCTTTTTTAGTTGGACTACAGTTTCTTTCGAACTCTTTTCTAATTTGTTTATCTAAGGCACCACCGTCGCATTTTGTGAATCACCATCACTTGCTCTGTGGTAGACTTGATATGATAGAAGAGCGTTTTTACACGAATTGTTTTACCTTCCAAATAAGACAATAAATAGGCGTCTAATTAAAAAAAAAAAAAAAAAAAGGAAATAAAGAGTCTGACAGCATTACCATCTTTTGCTCCCTGGAGATTTCGAGTTTTTGAGTTTGACGAAGAGAGTTTGGTGGCTTATGTCAGGTTATAGAGGAGAGGACAGCCAACGGCAAGTCTATAGGTAGCAGTCATTCAATCAATCTATCAATTGATGAAATGCAAAACTAACTTTTGACGGACCGAGGTGATGATCTTGGGTCAACATAGCAAACTCTTCAAACCAACCAATGACGGTACATTTTCTTCAATTTAGCTATAGGCATAAAGTAGAACTGTCAGTTTAAATATTATAGACAAGTTTTTCGAAATCTGTAATTATACTGTTCATTCAGAGATCCTACTACAATCCCTGAGCCAACTCACAGCCAGTGGTTTTTAATCCTCCTTATTGAATCCGTAAACGAAAACGTTCCACGTGGCCATATTCAGCGTAGGTCCGTATCACGTACTTAATTCAGGTGGCACTGATAAGAAAAAGTAATTCTCTGCTTGTCGTTGTTTCCTTTGTGGAGGAATATGGAGTGCACTTCTTCGCCATATTCAACATAGATCTGCATTGTTTACACGAGTTGATGGAACGGATTTTGATTCTAGTGTAGACGGCATTTACTTGGCAGAAGAATACGCGGGGCAGTTAGTCACCAAATATGCCTTAAATTCCAAGGCTAACGCTCGTAACTCGGGCAGATGTTATGCCAACTGTTTTCGCAGTAATGATAAGAGCCGACAATATGGACTTAAAGGAACCACTTCAGATAATCAGAATCTCGAAAAAATTTCGCTTAAAACCTTCAAGTATGTCATTTACAATCTATTTATATCCTCTCAATCCTTGATCAACCTAGTTCCCTCTTGGTTTACCTTTTCCATGTTGGTATTTTTTTTTATCTTACAAAACTAATATTTTGTTGTTTCCTTCCCGTTGAAGGTAATTTTACACGCAGCAAAAAAAATTGAGACGTAAAACCTTTAAATATTCTTTAGCACAAATTTCTCTCCAACACATGCAGTATAGTACAATCCACGTCGAGGCAACATGACGCTGCTAAAAGTTCTGTTGCCTTCTTTTCTTTGCTTCCATAGCATCAAGGATGGGTTGTCTTTTTGCTTGGTATCTGGACCGAAGTCCTTCAATTTCTTTTTCCATTTCCATGTCCAGTGTTTGCATTCGCCGTTGCAGTTCATCGCAAGGAAGAGATCTTAACTGTGGAAGAGAAAGAATCAAAGGGAAGGTTTTAGTCTCCTTGACGGACACTATACATCTTTACAGTTCATTAAAAGTTTCAAAACAAAAGTTTTAATACTAACAAATTCAAAGTCAGGGGGGCCTTCCTTCTTAAGTTTAAAGGGATCTTCTGGTTTCACTCCCCTCAAAAGTCCTCCAGAGTCTTCTTCAGAAGAACCATTGGCGCCAGACTCGCTTCCTCGACCTCCAGCTTCGTAGATTCTGTCAAAATGATCCATAAAGGACGGACGATAATTCTGTTTGGCGTCACTGTCCAGTCCTGTAAATGGAAAGAGGCAAGGAGCGCTCTAGGTTGAAAGATTGAATCACTGTTTAACTAGATATGACACGTGATCTAAAAGAGAGCATCAACAGTTCAGCTGTGGGGCATTAGCCCTTGGTATAGTGTAATCGCGGGGAGATGTGGTAGACTGTAGTTGGCTTTCTAGACTACGAATCGAAAAATACTAGT